GTTTGAACCTGAATCTGACTGAATGTTGTTCATGATGTTGATTAATTTTTAAAAAGCTCATCACTCTTTTTAGGGGATGTTCGATATGAACTTTTTGCTGATATCCAATAGGCTAATATTGTCCAAACACTAAATTTCCAATTCCGATATTAACCTGATAACGACTCTTACCGGTTTACATAATTATGCTAATATTGGTTGGCTAATAAATTCTTAGACGTTGCTACTTTAGAAAAAAAATTGTTAAAAAAACAAGATTTGTAGTTAAAGGGATTTTACCTCGTCAAACTCCTCTGTCATCTTACGGATGATCTCGGCGTTCTGCATGTTCCTGAACATCTCGATCCTCACGGTGCCTGGTTACACAGCAGTGAAAGGATTTCATGAACAGATATATCCACATACGTGTGTCAGCTGACACAGACCAACGTGACCTTTTCCAGTTTGAGGAATTTTACCTTTACATCCTGAGCACTGGATGAAGAAGTTGATGAGGTCCAGCAGAGCCAGGTCTCTGTCCTGTTTGTACGACTCAATCCACTCGTCCACCACAGACTGTTGAAGCACACGTGTGTCACTAACACCATACATCTATATTTACAAACTCTCTGTCTCTCTTTTGGACAAACATACATGAACAGCTACTGTCACTCACCTGCATGGCACTCTTGCCCATTTTGACCACTTCAAACAGAGTGACCAGGTCAGTGCCATCTCCATTGTGTTGAGCAACGCCATTGGCTTTACCTCGGCCTCTTGCCACAGGCGTCGTCTTGTCTGTGGGTGACCGCCGGGGTTTCTTATTGGCCGACTGTTATAAAGAACCAAGACGCAGACAAACAAATGAATAAATCTATAAACACATGAAATAAAGAGGATTTTCTCATGACTGTCCCACGAGCTCCGTTGACCTGCTCTCGTACCTGCGCTTGTTTTCCAGGCCTCCCCCTCTTCTTTTTTCCTTTTACTTCAGGATCGTCCATCTCACTCATGTTCATACTTAAGCCCACAGTGTCTGTGGCCCCAGACTCATTGGATGAGTCCCTGAGAGAAGGAACAAATAAATCAAATATGTGACTCAAAGATGACTGAAGCTCATATTCATCCACCAAGTAAATACATCTGAGGCTAGGAAGACTACAGGCATGAAGAATGAAGCTGATACAGGCTGACGAGTCAACGACTTATTGACCGTTAAATCAGGATGAGGAACAAAACTAGAAATGTATTATTGATTCCAAGGGAAAACTATTGGTGTTTTTGTGTTGTTACTGCAAAACAATTCACCACGGAACACCAGAAACACACGGAAGTGTAAGAGACAGAAACAGGGAATTTATTAATTAAATAATTAATAGGGAATTAATTATATAAATAATCCTAAAGCATAACAACAAATATACACAGGGCAGATAGCAGGTTCACTGTGCTAAGTGTAAAATTCATTCAAATTTTAGGGAAGAGTTAAAGAGGCAGGAAGGACTTCCTGTGGTGGAATAAGTCCGTTGCTAAATGTTCTCCTGTGTCTAACCAGCATTTCCTGGAGTGGATGTCACCGTCAAAGACAGACCTGGGCCATGACAGCATAGATTTAAAAACATGTTCTCTGAATATGACGTGATAAAGTCTTTTTTCTAACAGCAGTTAGTGACACAGTATTCAGACAAACAACCTGTGTGGCTGTTAGTATGGATGATGTCACACATTCACTGAGAAACTTTTTCACTCACTGCAGGACGGGAAGCTCCGAGGTGATCATTCTGGATCTGTGCCTTCAGTCTTCCCCTAGCTGTGTTTCAGGTCCAAGTGATAGTGGAATGAGGCAGCTGACAGGGTGGGGGTGGGGGGTTTCGATAACAGCAGGAAGAAGAAGTTCCAGGATGGACAAGACTCTGCTTCTTAACTCTCTCCTGCTCCTGAAAGAGTAAAGAAACAGATGGAGATAATTTAAAGGCATTTTAAAGGAAATGACATTTTTACATTTGTTATACAGTAGGTAATAGAACAAACAGGACTGGGAAACATGGCATAAAATACTAAAGGGTAATTGGATTGAAATGGCAGTTAAGGTAAAGGCTAATTAAACTGACATTTCATCGTCCGGTTTAGTGAAATCCTGAATAAATTCAAAACAAATTCTCTGTTTGCTTTATAAGTCATTCCACACGTGACATTTTTACAGCGTCCGAGTCAAGTGTCAGAACAGACTCTCAATCTGTCACTAAGATGAATAACACCGTGGAGCTGACAGCGGGGAAAGGACGACACCAACTGGTTACTTTGAGAACTACAAGAGCAAAATATTGTGGGATGGAAAGAGGGCAGAGACACAAAGACACACTCACACACACTAATGGTGACAAATTACTTCAGCACCGTGAAGACATTTGGAAAATTCATCAAAATATTTTAGTCGAGCAACAAACTTGATATGTTGACATTTAACTGTACTTAAATATTGACATTTAACTGTATTTAAAAAGGGCAAAATAAATGTGAGTCACAAAATAAATCAGAGGTAAAGCTGAGATATGTGTTTGGTATTAATTGCTGAAAACCATATATTACGTAGCAAATACAATAATTACAATGTCCGGGATTATAAACGGTGCCATATTAAATTCCAGAATGTTTTTCTACTAAAAGTGATTCATGGGACTACATCTGTTTTTATGTATTAGTCGACAGGAGCCAAATGTAAATATAGTTATTGATTCTTTTCTTTTTTTGACCTGTTGATATTCTAGTGAAGGCAGATCAAAAATTTGAGCAGTACCACTCTTAACCACGGGGGGCAGCAGGATCCACAAAGTCCTCTGTGTCAAAGTCTAACTTCAGAGAGCCTTACTGGGGCTGAAGAGGGAAGAGTGGGATTAGAAAAATATACTAAAATAGAGTGAAGTCATAAAAACCCTCCTGTCAGGTTTGGTGCAACTGAAGCAGTGATTTACCGCTGTATTCTCCCCAGAGTGTGTGTGAGTGTAGATGTGTGTGTTTGAACGTTGGTCTGGGCAACAGTAGGGGGCAGGCTAAGAGAGAGTGTATTTAAATGCTGTATTCCACACAGTGTTTGTACTGAGGAATAGCAGGGGCAGGAGAGACCTCTGTGTGACTGGGAACACACACACACACACACATTTTTTCTCCATCTCTGGAGTGAAGCAGCAGAGGCTACAGATACATGTGTCTGTTGAGAGTCTGATTTTGGTTGTTTCATAACATTCAGTTACTGCCATTTGTTTCTTTATATGAATGAACTTAGAAATACAGCAGAAAATACAGGAGTGAGTCACACACTTCTAAGACAAATAGGAAAAACATGTATGAAAATACTCTATTTTACTACTCATCTAAAACATCTGCCGGCACTGACGTCATGGTAGAGTCCGTTTATTGTAGAATTCTGAGTGGCGTCTTTAGTACCAGGTCACAACCTGAATCTACGCCTGGTCTGTGTTGCAGATTTCCTGTGATGCGAATCACATAAAGGTTTGTGCTTAACTTAATAGTTGAATCATTTTGTGGGTAACTCTATTTCTGGCATTGCCAAACGCCCAGAGATTTTTTGTAGGTAACTCAGATGTTACAAAACTATATCCTTACTTTTTGTATCTGTGCTAGTATTTCTGGCATTGCCAAACGCCCAGAGCCTGACCAGTCCTGTGTTTGTCTGTCTGGCTCTGGCTAATGCTAGAACATTTAAATCATAACAGAAAAAACAAAAACTAATGTGTAAACCAGCTCTCTGTGTTCTGGGAAAACCCTAAAGTGCCAAACTGTAAACCAGCTCTCTGTGTTCTGGGAACAAACTCCATCCATCTACAAGGACTAAGTCATTTGTATGCGTACATCTTTAGCCAACATTGACCCTTCACCCTCTTCCCCCTGCTCTCTCATCACGTTGAGTGGTTTACATTTTATACACTCGTCCTTCTAAAGTCCTCAAAATCATCCTGAGAAGAAGCTTTAGACCTGACAACACCACACACTGGACGCCTGTTCGTCCAATCAAAAGCACAAAGGACAATTGTCCACAACACTTTTGTCCAAAGACTTGACAGGAAGCCGTAATGTTATAAAACATTATGACATGATAAAATCACCGGCTGATCCAGAGCAGAAGGCATTATGGGTCATGTCATCTCACCACTCTCTCACCTGATGACTCTGCTCTCTACCCTCCCCCACTCCCCTCTGAATCTTTTACCCTCCTATATCTAAGTTTATTTTTATCTTGTGTAGGCATGGACACAGACACAAGCCAGTGCCATCTGAATTATTCCTCCTCAGAGCTGTTTTTTCATGAGCCTCATATCGAGCAACATTTACATTTACCTCCAGCATTACTACCATTACAGTTATTGTTATTTCAGGACAGTAGAACCTGAGACTTTAGACACCGTTCTGGTCAAAATAAGGACAATTCAAGTTATTTTTTCAGTCTATAATTCATGAGGTTTTTTTTAGCAGTTTGGCTGGTCCTGTAATTTATATCCCAAAGCAACTAATACATCAAAAAATAATCCCATACATCATCTGTGGCTACAAGAAGGCGCCGTCTAAACTAGAGACGAGTAAATGCTGCTACTGCAACACTGACAAACCACAGCATAAAGACTTCATTTAAATGAGAATCAGAAGAGGAGATGCTGCTTTGTCTTCCACTAGAGTTGTCAGAAGTACTTAGTAGTGACACAGTGAGGGAATGCAGTCAGTGACGTGGGACAAATTAGGGACTAAAAATCGACCTATTTGTGTTTTTCTCCCTCTTCACTAAGCATTTTGGTTCGTGTAATATTTGGTTATAGTTAGAATTAGAATTTGTTTACAGTATGTGAATTTCTCATTTTTTCATTTTTTAGTCTCACTTTCTGTCTCTCAAACATGAGCGTGCACACACACACACACACACACACATGAAAGCACAGATCCGTGAGATATATATAATAATTTGCAGACTCTATCCTGGAATTTTGGAGGAGACAACAGACGCTGCCGACAGCTCTCTACCTCTCACTGCATTTCAATTCATAGACATAGATTTCAAAAAGAAAAACAAACACTCCTACTAATTAAACAAAAACCCATTTAAAATAACAAACAAGCAGTGTTGGAGTAGAACAATGAATTATACATGCCGACCCCTTGGTTTTTCTTGCTCACTGCTGTACACCATCACACACCGCTGGGTCTGACTCATTCCATTACTTCATGCAGGCAGCAGAGAACGGCACTGATTTGTCCCAGGATACTATGAGTGTTTTAATGAGCAGAGGTGTCACTGCTGAATAACAGACGTGTGTGCTCAAGCAACGTAAAGAGAAAATGCTGAGTCAAATGTCTTCCTTTGTTCGAGCTCTTGATGAAGTACCAGAAGCATCGGACAATGTGAGACAACCCCATTAAAAAGAGCACTGTGCTGTATGTTACTGCATTTGAATTATGGAGAAGCACACGTTCGGTCATATCATTCAGTCACATAAAAGGCTGCTGATATATAAACCATTAGAACATGATGAAATAATTCATTTGTCAATGACAGAGGAAGTGAAAGAAAGATAAATAAATAAAAGGATCACAGTGTGGCCAAGCAGCTTGACTTTGAACAGTGGTTACCGTGTTCCATCTCCTCTAGGTAAACTAGCAATGTCTTTTAGTTTGTGTATGTATATATGTTTATATATACTGTGTATATATATATATATATGTATATGTAAATATATATATATATATATATATATATGTATATGTATGTATATATATATATATATATGTGTATATATATATATATGTATTGGTCATAGTGACGGTACATGCTGAGACAAATATTTTTCAGCAAATATTAAGAACTCTAAATGGATGAATGGATTTTAACCACAAACATTTCCAAGTATTTACCTAATCCTACTGTTACAGAAAGACTTTTTTTTTTAATTAAAAACTCTAAAATAATAATCCATACATTTTCATAAATTTATGTCAAACAATGCCTGGGATATTACAGACAAAAACAAACATGGGACAGTGAACTCAACATCAAACGGCAGCCACTTGTGTTTGGTACAGCCTACAGTTCTTTGCAGTTGTAAGTGCAGCTGGAGCGGCTTTTAAATAAACCCTCATGGTGACTATCAGTGTTTCCACACGTCATAATCCTCAGTGACTGTGTGTCTACTTAAGAGAAATGTAAGACAACGAGTGAGCATCTGAAAACCACTTAACATGCATGACATGTTCTCTGGGAGGCAGGCCGACGTTGCCATAGCAACTGGTGTGGGTCATAAGCCCGGTGATGACGGGTATATTTGATTGGTTGAGGGTAGATAGGAGGAACCAAAGGGGCGGGAGGGGGGACACAACTGGACCGGTAACAGATCCAATCAGTGGATCAATGCTATACCATAACTTCAAGCCAATGGTATCGCCTCAGTTCAACATTGGTTTATACACCAGCGACCAGGTTCAGGGGCAAAATCCCACTTTGGTTGTGGTAGCTGTAATTTTCCCCAAAGTGTGCACTAGTCTGTAAATCTAGTAGAAATGTAGAAATTAAAAAGATATACCAGTTTAAATTTCTTCTGAAACAATTCTAAAGTGAAAGAATATCTTTTTAATTCTAGCCTTTAGAGGTGACATCTCTGGATGATAAGATTCAGATTAAGTCCTTTATTCATCCCAAAACGCTCAACAGTGTTGGCAGCAGCAGAGTCGAGGAAAAGGTATAAAGAGTATAAGTATTGCATAGTGCTATGGAAAAAAGACATCAGCTAGCCACTTCTTAACATGATACTGTCCAGTTTACAGGTATAATTACTCTGAGACTCTGTAGTTTAAGAATAAACAGCTACGATAATCATTAACTCATGCAGATAATGATAATCGAAGGTGAAAGATGAAAGAGCTGCTACACAGGTTT